TTTTTTTTGGGGGGGGGCAAGGGGCCCCCCTTTTGGAAAACCGGGAAAAACCCAAGCCCCCCCCCCAGCCCCCCCCCCCGGGGCAAAAATTGAAGGCAAATATAATAGGGGGTTTAAAAGGGGGCACGCTTGCACCAGTTTATTGTAAAGGATTAAGGTTTTCAAAAAAAAAACGAATTTTTTTTTAATTAAAAAAAATTTTGGGCCCCATTTAAAAACCCAAAAAATTTTTTTAATTTATTTTTAGGTTTGGGGTGGTAAAAATATTTCCAACACCATGCAAAAACAAAAAACCTCGGAAAAAAGGTTAAGGGTTTTTTTGGGGGGGTTTCAATATTTCCCAAAAATTTTGTGGGGGATTTCGGGCGCGCGCGCGGAAAAAAGCCCCCAAAAAAAATAAAAACCCAGGGGATTGGGTAAAAAATTCCCCCCCCGGAAAAATTAAAGCCCCCCCCCCCCGCCCCCCCCCCCCCGGTGTTTGCCATCGGCGTTGGGTTTTCGTCGCTTGGCAACGACGTTGTAAAACAAGCCCCCCACTCGGTGTTTGCCATCGGGATTGGGTTTTCGTCGCTTGGCGACGACGTTGAAAAACAAGCCAATTCACTTCGTGAACTCGGCAACCAGGTTACCGTTTTTTTTTTACCTCGGTTTTTTTTTTGGCGGTAACCATAATGGTGGTCGAGTAGATCATGTTGTGCGGGGTCGAGAAACCTCACTCCGCGCAAGGGGGGATGATCGCACCACGATGTGTTAAAATGGTCAAGCATCCTCGAGGCAGTTACACAGTGCTTACAACTAACTGTCTCTGGAAGTGAAAGCACCAGAAAATAAATTAAGTCATACGTAGCTGTCATCCGTACGCAAGGAAGTAAGCACAAGATGCCGAACACCCTTAGCAGGATGCAGCTCACCCTTCATGCGACTCGCCAAATACCTCACGGCGCTTCGCGCTTGGTGATGTGAGAGCCTGGTCCGGTGAGAACCCGGCGTGCTCCGTCCCGGCTTTGTAGGGATGCGAGGTCAATGGTCAAAAGACTACGGCATGCACGACTATGAGTACACCCCCCCCCCCCCCCCCC